GCTCAGCACTAGTGAGGCCCCACCTCAAATTCTGGGATCACTTTTGGTCCTCTCACAACAAGAAAGGCATTGAGGGGCTGGGCTGGAGTGTGTCCAGAGAAGGGACCAATGCTGGAGAAGGGTCTGGAGCACCAGGAGCAACTGAGAGAGCTGGGGAGGCTCAGCCTGGAGAAAAGGAGGCTCAGGGGGACCTTCTTGCTTTCTACAACTCTGTAACAGAAGGGTGCAGCCAGGTGGGACTCAGGCTCTGTCCCAGGCAACAAGGGACAGGACTAGAGGAAACGGCCTCAAATTGCACCAGGAGAGGTTTAGGTTGGATATTAGGGAAAACTACCTCCTCAAAAGGGTTGTTCAGCGGTGGTTGTTTTAAAGCCCAGTGGGAACATTAAGCTCTCTCAAGCCAACCCTTTTTGATAGTGGAGGGGAAAAAACCCACTAGGAGAGAACTCACAGTAAACACAGCAATAGTAATAAAAGATTGTGGAAGAGAGAGAACAGTTTACACACAGAAAGGGTATTCACCACCAACCAAACAGAAACGTTGCCCAAAGAGAGTGCCTGCTGTGCTTTCCTCAGACCACGGTAAGACCTCACCTGGCCCCCAGGGGTAAAACCAGGGTGACAGCCATTCCGATGCTGCGGGCTCCATGTGTTTTCCCCAGACAAAGGCAATGTGGCAGGGAGCTCCCACAGCAAGTTTCCTTCCTCCAGCCCAGAAAACAGGGGGAAAATGGGGACAAAAGCTCCACTGCACTGGGGGTTGGTTCTGTGTGGCAGCTGGGGCTTAGCACGGGCAGCTCTGCAGTGGCTCCTCTCTCTCTCTGCAGTGTGGGGTGGCTCCAGAGCTCCCTTTTCAGCTTGGCTCAGTTGCACTGGGGGTTACCCCTGCTGCTCCACTCCCCAAGGCTGCCTCCCACACCGGGGCTGTCTTCCAGCTCCTTGCCCATTCCTCATTTCACTGCTCTCTTCAGCTCCACGTGTTGGAGCTGTGGCTGCAAGGGATGAGTAGGGGACTGGTGGTGGAGGCAGGCACCGCATCCGCAGGGATTGATCCCCACACCTTTCTGCTGGAGAGTGGGAGGAAAAATGACACACTTCTGCATGCTGGCACTCGGTTTTTCCTCCCCAAAACCACCCCCCAGACAAGACTTGGACGATACTGGATATCCAGTGCTAAAACTCCACCTCCTATCTCTGAATCCAGGATATTACCCACCCCTCAGTCAATACTATCCACATCATGCCCAGATTTAACACCCTGCAACTATATACACATAACTATAAACAAGCAAAGGTGTTATTTCAGTAGTCACAGACCATCCCCCAAGATGTTTGCTGAGTTCATTCAGACTGGTGGAACTGGAGCAGTCCATACTCATTGTCCATGGCATTTACAGGGTACAGTGGCAGTGGCATTCAGCAACCAGTAGTACATATGCAATTCAACATTACAGGTTGCTTTCACCCAAAATTCAAATCCCCTTGAGGTACAAGTTTTATTTCCCCATCCCTTGCTTCACTCATTCAGTCCCTCAGCAAAACCAATCCCACAGATGGCTTTGCCTTTGCTTGAGGCAGGACTAATCCAAACTGTCTTCTCCAACACCTTTCTCTTGTGCACCACAGGCACTTTATCCCCTTCTGTGCTTCGTGGGGGTTCTGATTGGGCAGGGCCAGCTGGGTTGGTGGAGGCTGGGGTGTTAACTAACCAGGTGGCTTTCTCTAAATGTACATCCCCATGTTTGAAGGCCCCACCACCCATTGCTTTCAATGTGGTTTTTAACAGTCCATTGTGCCATTGCACTTTCCCAGGGGCTGCTGCATGACAGGGAATATGATCCACCCACTGCATCCTGAGCTCTCTGCCCAGGTGTCTGTGAGGCTCTTTTTGAAATGAGCCCCATTGTCTGATTCAGTTCCTGCTGGGGGCCACGTCACCCCAGGACTTGCTTTTCCCGGCCCAGGATGGTGTTCCAGGCAGGGCCGTGAGGCACAGGATGTGTCTCCAGACCCCAGGGACTGTTTGCACCACGGTCAGCATGCAGCACTTCCCTTGGAGGGTTTGGGGAGTGCGATGTGCTGTGCTGTGATCACTCTGCCAGGCCTCCCCAGATTTTTATTTCAACCATCACCCCCACACCACAGAGGCTTTATCTGCTTGGCCCTGCTTGATTGCAGCCCCTGATTCCCAGTTATGGATAACCTGGGAGATGATTTATTCCCCTTGATCATGAGCCCACCTGTATGTTGCATCTCCTCCCTGATGACCTGAGGAGTCATGGGCCCATCAAGCCAGAAACAGTTCACCCTTATGTTGCCAGTCCACATCCACCTGAGACACTTTAATCTCAGCAATCTGATCCACCTGTCGTTGTTGTGATGTTCTTCAGTAGCCCCAGTTTTGGGTACCGCCCTTGGTGCTGCCCCAATCCTGTCCCTCCCCAGGACCTTGCATTCACCCTGACCAACGAGACCCCCGTTTCCTGGAGGGAGGATGCACATCAGTGGGTGGCTGCACATCTGCAGTGCAGACACCTGGACCTGAGCCTGGCGGTCTCTGCTGCTGCAGGAGCAGGACAGGCAGGTCTGGGCACAAACCAGTGCAGACTGTGAGAGGTGTTACCCCAAGAACGAGAAGCTGAGAGACAGGAAAGAGAAGGGAAATAAGGCCACAGGATAACCCCCCACTCACTCAGATGTTATTTACAAGGTTCTCTTTCCCACCCCAGGGTGCTCACAGTTCCCCACAGCAGAAGCTGCATCCCCGGGGTGTCGGCAGGCTCACCTGGGAACGGCCATCCCTGCCAAGGCAACGTTGGCCTCCATGTGGAGCGTGAGTTCAGTGCCAGCAAGAGCTCTCTGCTTTTTATACAATGAACCTGTGAGCTCTACCTGGCCAGGTGTGGCCAGCACCACCCAGCCAGAGGCCCTTGGGGCCTCCCCACGTGGTGTAAGTGGTGCCCCTTCTGCCCACGTCTGTGTATTTTGGAATGTCCCTGAGCCTCTGTGCTGCACCTCGGGGGTCCTTTCTAAATGAGTCTGGGGGCTTCCTTCATCCTCCTCCTCTTCACTGTCTCCTTCCAATGCCCTTTCTGGGCCATCGGCCAATAGTCAGTCACCAATTAATTTCAGTTTATACGATGTGCTTCCTTCAAGGACAAAGTTCTCCTTTATCAGTGCTTGCTTTCTCACAACATGACAGGAGAAGATCAGTGTCCCAGGTTGGACTTGGCTCCCAGCCAAGTGCCCAGACCTCAGGGACAAAACCTTCCCCCTCTCTTTCACTCTCTCCCAGCTGACTGAAAAAAAAAAAATCAAAAGAACCCAAACCGAATTAAATTTCAAAGTGAAAGATTTATATATATAAAGAAAATTATATACACTATTACACCCCCAAAAAGGGAAAAGGGAAGGGGAAGGGAAAAGGGAAAAAGGGATAAAAAGGGATATAACACAAATATTTCCCTCCAGAGATAGCGAGCCACACCACACAACCACCGGCACTCTCTGCCTCTCAAGGCCAACCAGATGCACTCGGCCTCACTCCCTCGCCCAGGCAGAGCGACAGCAAAGAACCTTCGCCTTCGGTCCACCGGAAGAAAGAGAGCAAGAGTTTCCTCTCTCTTCTTATTTATACTCTTGCTTACGTAAAAATCGTACGGAATACTGGGAACATGGCCTTGGTTCCTTGGTTACAACCTGGTCACCAAGGAAGGCCTAGTCTTAAAACTACTACAGTCAGACTCACAGGTGGCTGGGTCAAACACAGACCACAAGAAGCAGCGTCTAATTAAGCACAAATACACCCCCCACATCCACCTTGATGGTCTCTGCAGACCCACAACCTCTCACACACACATCTCTCAGACACCCTTCTGGGACCCTTGACACAAGCAGGGACCCTCTGCCTGACTGATACCCCTGCCTGGACCTGGGCTCTCCAACTCCCTGGCCAGCCAAGCTCAGGTCCAGGCTCTGTTTTACTGGTGACCAGTCCCTTTTCCACCCTTTTGGCCGGTCCCCTGCCTTGTCCTCCCCGACTCCTTCCACTCCACGTGGCCTCTGGGTCACCCCAGGGATGTGCAAAGTGCTGCCACATCTGTCCCCTCCCGAGTCCAAGGAGCAGCCCTGGAGAGCCCCTGCAGCAGGGCTGTGCCTGGGCATGCTGCCAGAAGGGTGTGTCCAGAGTACAAACTCCCCAAATCACTCAGTTCCTTTCACTTTTGACGGCAGCAGCACAGCAGGAATTGGGTGGCTGGCTGGGACAAGGTGACCATTTCCTTTGGTTTCCAGACAGCTCACCTGGGATCAGGGCACAATTCCAAGGTGTCCGCAGAGCAGCTCCTGCTCAGGGTCTCCAGGTACGTGGCTTCTGTTGGGAATCTGCAGATGGAAATTGCCCTCTGCCATTTGCCAGAGCTGGACACAGTTTCCATGTCCTGTTAGCAAAGTAGAACCAAGTCAGTGAGCAAAAAGGGGGTGGGTGGGAGAGCAGAGCAGAGCAGAGCCAGGTCCTGTCTTGGCTGGGCCTCGGATCAGTGTTTTGACTATTTTGCTTCCCTTGGTGCAAAGCCTTCTCCCACTCTCAGTGAGGGGCAGGCAGTGAGTCCAGACTTGGTCAGGGTTTGTCCTTCTTGTCCTGCCCCATCCGTCTCTTTCTTAAGGCTGGGTCAGAAAAGCCAGGGCTCCACATGAAAACAACTGCCCCTTTCTGGTGCAACTGGAGCAGATGTTGCAGCTTGTCCTTTGCTTTCCCAGGGGAAATTCCCACAACTTTTTAGACCAGTCAGGTACTTTGCGTATAAAGCACTAACCAAAGTCAGTCTGATGATGGAAAATCGAGTTCAACCTTGGCCATGGAAACTTCTGCCCTAGACATTACAGAAAGGGCTGAAACCAGCAATGAACCCCTTGAAAAGTGAACTCATCCTGCTTGGTTGGTTGGTTGGTCGATTTTAAATTCCCTTGTTTCTCTTCCCTCCTGCCCTTTCTCTCTCCTTGCCCATCTCCAGGGTGTGATCCCGAGAGGAGGATGCTCTGCAGTTCCCCCATCCACTGCTCTCTGCCGGCTTTTGTCATTTACAGTTTAGTTTTCCAAGGTCATCAGGGGCACTCAGGTAAGAATCACAGAATCATAAAATCATAGAACAGCCGGGTTGGAAAGGACCTCTGAGATCATCAAGTCCAACCTTTGATCCACTACCACCACAGTTACCAGACTATGGCACTCAGTGCCACATCCAGTCTCCTCTTAAAAACCTCCAGGGACAGAGAATCCACCACTTTCCTGGCAGCCCATTCCAATGCCTGATTACCCTCCCTGAAGAATTTCTGCCTAATATCCAACCTAAACCTCCCTGGCAGAGCTTGAGACTGAGACCTGGCTCCCCCTCCTGTCAGGGAGTTGCAGAGAGTGATGAGGTCTCTCCTGAGCCTCCTCTTCTCCCGGCTCAACAACCCCAGCTCCCTCAGCCTCTCCTCACAGCACTTGTGCTCCAGTCCCTTCCCCAGCCTCCTTGCTCTTCTCTGCCCCTGCTCCAGCCCCTCCATGTCCTTCCTGACCTGAGGGGCCAGAGCTGGACACAGCACTCCAGGAGTGGCCTCCCCAGCCCTGAGTGCAGGTCAAGAATCCCTTCCCTGCTCCTGCTGCCACCCTCTTCCTGAGCCAGGCCAGGATCCCTTGGCCCCCTGGGCTCACTCTGGCTCCTGTTCAGCTCCTGTCCCTCCACACTCCCAGCTCCCTTCCTGCCAGGTTGCTCTCCAGCCACTCTGTCCCCAGCCCTGGGGCTGCCAGGGCTTGTTGTGGCCAAAGGGCAGGACCCGACACTTGGCCTGGTTGAACCTCATCCCACTGGAATCAGACCATGGATCCAGCCTGTCCAGGGCCCTCAGCAGAGCCCTCCAGCCTTCCAGCTGTTCCCCCTCTTCTTGCTGAACGCTGTGGCACAGCTTCCAGCCTGAATATCTTCCTGACTACCAGTGCAGCAGCTCCCTGTGAACAGCAGAGCACAGGGCAGGGTCAGGCCCTCTCCATACACCTTCTCCACTTCTGAGAGTGCCAGCATTCCTCTGGATCCTGCTTTATTCCTCTGGATCCTCCTTTATCCCTCTGGCCATGGGAAAACAGGCATGGGTACAACCCCTCTGAACTGGGGTGAGGATTAGATGATGCCAATGAGTTGATTATAGTTTGCTGCCATTTCCCTCCCTGCTTTCCCTGTCTCCTGCACATTTGCAATACGTCATTGCTTTCCTGGGCTGTGTCAGGGCTCTGCTGGACCCTTTGAAGAACCAGCTCACAAAAACAACAACAACAATGAACTTTTACAAGTTACTCTGAGTTCTCTTAGATTGCTGACCTGAAGCAGCTTCTTAAAGGCAGTCCTGGCAGTTGACTGCAAAAGCATCTTGTCAAAAAAAGGTCATTTGCTTTTGTTTTCCTTCAACCTGAACCACTTCCTCTGTGAGCTGAGTGAACTGATTGTTATAAGCCTATATCTTGTAATTTTCTAAAGATACCAAGAGCACCTGAGACATTTTTACTTTTATAATAGATTTTTGCAATTTGAGAGGTGAGAACAGTGAAGGCTATTTGAGCTTTCTTTGTCCCTAAGTTGTCACTTGCTCCAGCCAACCACCCAGAAACCTTCCAGCCACCTCCATCATTCCTTGTCCCCCTTTCTGCCTGCCCTGAGCCCCACGGGCAGCACCTGTGCCCTTGAGAACAAGGGGTTTGAAGACCTTTGCTGGCAGTGCAGGACAGGGAAGCAGAGGGACGGCCCCAGAGTGGCCTGGCCCCAGCCCACTGCCTGTGCTGCAGGGCAGGGTTCCCGTCCCAGCTCCCCTCAGCCCCTCGTGTGCCCCGGCACAGGGACGCTGCCAGCGCCATGGCCCGGCCCGGCAGCACCCGAACCACGTGGAGCAGCCGCTGCTGTGCCCGAGCTCAGGTGCCTCAGCAAACTCACAGTTCTCTCTTCCTCCTCCGGGGGTCTCTCCCAGATCCATTCCAAGTCACTGGACCCCCCGACCCCATCACCGTGGCCAAGGGTGAGAACGTGGTGCTGCCCTGCAGCTTCTCCCCAGAGCAGGATGCACAGGACACGGAGGTGATCTGGTTTCGGGAGCAGTTCTCGCCCTTTGTGCATCGCTTCAAGGAGGGCCAGGACCAGTATGGGGAGCAGATGCTTCAGTACCAAGGGCGCACTGAGCTGCGGAAGGACGGCCTTGCCAAGGGCAGCGCAGACTTGAAGATTTTCCGTGTCCAACTCTCTGACACAGGGACTTTCACCTGCTTTGTTCGCCGTGGCTCAGATTATGACGAGGCTCAGGTGGAGCTCAAGGTGACAGGTCTGTAGTTTGTGTCCCTGGTACCTCTGATTTACTTGCTCATGGTCAGTGCTCTTGTTCCCTGTCCTCGTGCCTAGAAACAGTTTCAGGGGGTTGCTTTGGAAATAGGGTGTTATTAAGTCCCTTGGTGTAAAATATCAAGAATGTCTCAGAGAGGTAAAATTGTCATAGGAAGCTCATGAAATACTTCCTCCTTCAGAATTTTTTCTTCATATTGTTTTCTTCATAAAAGCAGGCATAAGAAAAAATCTGGCATTGGGTAATAACAGAAGAATATTGAGGTGCTTTTACATTTTAATATCCAGATCAGTGGATTATTTTGCTGCAGCAGTGGCCTCCAGAGCAAATCTCTCAGTTACATGAAAGAGACTGCAAGAAATGTCCTGGCTCCAGGTGACATCAGTCTGAAAAACCATCTGGGATTTGTCTGTCAGTTTATCCACGTCAGGGAGAGAAACAGCCAAACCAGGTTATCCCCCTGACATCCAGAGCCCCACAGGGTCACCTGGGGTCTCTCCCTTTTCCCACAGCCAGAGGCTCTGCCCCGCTCATCACGCTGGAGCGCTACGAGCACGGGGGGATCCGCGTGGCCTGTCGCTCAGCCGGCTGGTACCCACGGCCCCAGGTGCTGTGGCACGATCCCCACGGGCGGCATCTCCCGTCCCTCTCGGAAAACACTACCCAGGACAAGAATGGGCTCTTCGCAGCTGAGAGCAGCATCATCCTCACCAGGGGTGTGAACCAGGAACTCTCCTGCTCGGTGCAGCACATCCCGCACAGACCAGAGCAGGAATCAGCCCTTTACGTGTCAGGTGAGTTGAGGATGGGGTATGGCCCTGCCAACGTGTCCCCGGAGCTGTGCTGGGCACGGCACCCCCAGGGCCTCTGGCAGGGCACGTGCTCAGCGTGTCAAGGCCATTTCATCCCACCTGTGCAAACAGCCACGGCTTTCAGCAGCCTCGGTGCAGGAGTGCTGCCAAAACCCACCGGTTCCGTCTGCAGGTGCCGGTTAGGGGGGAAGGTACAACCCTCATTGTGGCAGAGTTTATACAGACACCTGGCTGAAATAAGCACATTCATAACACTGGAGTTAAATGAAGAAAAAGAAGCAAACCCATGCCCTTATTCCTGCTACCGTGAAATCCTGTCCTACAGGTTTAGTATGAGGAATAAATCCTTGTGTCTCATTTTAGCACCTGCAAGTATAAAATGCAATCCTAATATTTCCTTGTCTCATAGGAAAGCTCCTTTTTCACTGGATGATTGGTTTGGGGCTGGGAATATATCAGAGCAGAGATGCAATGATGAACTGCATTAACCATACACCAAATGACACAGCAGCAACACGTGCTTTCCAACTCCACCCTGCTCCTCTTGTAGTTCAGAAATTAACAAGTCCAGGAGACTTTATTTCCCTGGGGAACCATTACCTTTCTCCTGGTGATGCTGTTCTGCACTGGAGTGTTGTTCTTGATGCACATATCACCCTATTTCTGATCCCATGTTGCTTAATGAAATGCAAGATTTAGTTTTTCCCAAAGGAGAACAAAACATGATTTAATCAAAAAGAACTTGCTTAGAAATCCATCTTCCCTTTAGAAATCCTCCACAATGCAGACAAAATGTCATCAACCTCATACAAGTGTGAAATTGCCAAGATGGATGTTTTTAAATGTCCTTTTTTGCCCTTTTTCATAGTACAATATGGTTTTCATCCTCAGTGGGATTCAGATGGAATGACCTTGTATGAAGCAGACATAATCCCCTTTCAATTGCTACATGCACAGTAACCTCCCCTTTGGGGATTTAATTTTTCAGATTCCTTTTTCCAAGATGCCCATCCTTGGAGGATTGCCCTGGGCGTGGTCCTGGTTGCTGGGGTTGCTCTCCTTATTATCACTGTTTATCTATTTAGAATTAAAGGTACTATCCTGAGTTTGGGGCTGGGAAAGGGAATGGGCAGTCATCCTACTCAGCCACCTCGAATCCTGATGGGTGAGGGGGCTGAGAAAAACCCAGATGGAACTGAAGTTGGCCTTAAAGCAGCATCAGCTGCTCCTCTGCCCCAGCACAGCAATGGAGCAATAATTTGCCTTGAGCTGCAGAGAATCCCTGGCAGTTTGGGGGCCTGGCAGGGCCTCCTTTCCTTCTCAAGATCCCTCAGATGGGAGATGATACAGAGGAATGAAGGAAACTGAAATCCTCTCTGTCTCCCTGGGAGGAGATGGGGCCGGTGGGTCGTGCGGGCACGTCCAGGCTCCACGGCCCTTCTGCCGTGCGGGCGGCTGGAACTCCTGCTGGGGCTTCATCAGTACTCGGTGGAGGGAGGAGTTTTAAATGATTTGCATTTCTTACTTTTCTTCACAGGAAAGCACCAGAAAGAAATAGGTAAGCTTTACTTTCCATTGTCCAGAAATTGGAGAACTCTTCCAGTGGAAGAATTCATGGGACGGGTTTCTGGAGGACAGGAGGCAGGGAAATGGTTTGGTTCGTGGCTACATCCCATGGGAAATTAATTTATTAAATGCTGTTGCCATATTCAGGACGTTGACTGCAGAACTAAAGAAAGTGTGAAGAGATGTTGTACCAACGGTGAACTTGGCTTTTCAAAGCGCTCTTGAGGTTCTTCCCAAGTCTGGAGGAAGCTTTCGGGTAGCACATTCCATTGTGCAGGGGCCTCAGCTTTTCTGAGCACTGCAGAGCACAGGCACAGGCCCTTAGGTAGCACTGCAGGTGACATTTCAGCCCCTGCTCCTCCCTTTGTGGGTGCAAAGCTGCCCCTTCCCTGCTGCCCTGGAGCTGCAGCCCCTGCTCAGGTCTCCAGCAGCACGTGCTGATCTCTGCCCACAGCGGGCTCAGGCAGGGTGGGCGACACCCCCAACGTCTTGGCAAGACAGGCCCTGAGGAGCTCCTGGGCTGCAGCTTTGCCCTTGGCAGCAATTCCAGCCTCCTCCCTACCCCAACAAGTGTATCAGAGAAACGGCCCCAACTTTGGTGCTGACGCTCTGATCTGCTTTTGTTTTCCAGAGAGGCAAAAGGAAGCACTGCGTAAGTCTCACTGCCCGTCTCCTCGGGGAAATCCTCTCTCAAAACTTCCAGACCTTTTCATTCATTCTCTCAGTCTGTCCAAATGGTTTTTCTGGGCAGAGATTTTCCTTCCTCCTCCCCTCACCCCATAATCATATGAAAATTCACCCTGAACACTCCTTAGGATTTTTCTCCTGAGTGGCTGTCGATGCTTCCTGACACTCCTGTCAATGGAAGTAGTGCAAGAATTCTGAACAGTTCTTGTTCTTTAGGGGCAAAGTACAGAAACCTGAGCTGTAGCAGAAACCTGCTCATAAAAATGTCAATTCCTTGATTTCTAAAATTCTTTAAAAATCAAGCTTGCTTGAAGTGGTCTTGTTTTTTTGTTGGCTTGTTTGTTTGTTGCTTGTAGAATTGCCAATAAATAGTCCTTTGGCTATTAAACATAACCTCATGCAAAAACGGTGCCACTGAAGGGGTAAAAATGATGGAGAAACTAAATACAGGTCAGCTGTCCGTGCAATCAGAGCAGAACCAGAGCATCTCCCCTTTCCATCTTGTTCTTTCCTGACCTGGGTGCTCCTTCAGCTGAGAGGGGGGGGTCCAGGGAAGGGACTGTGCCACATAATAACTCGTGTGTGTTTGTGTTTGTTCATCAGGGCACCACGAGGCAGAAATCGGTGAGTCTCTTACTCTTCCTTACAAAGAATTATTTACAGAGTCTGTGTAGGGTAGGGGGGTTCTCTGACGTTTTTTCAGTCTTAAGGTGTGAAGTGAACCAAAAAGTGTTTGAGGCTTGGGGAAGGAGAGAGTGAATGTGAGAATCAAAAATTCAAGGTCTCTGATGATGGTGCCTGGGGATGGGAAGGGGTGGTGGCAGCAGTAGAACTGGCAGGGTGGGAGTACCCTGGTCCCCTTGGAGATGAGGGAGCTCCTCGAGTTCATTTCCTGTCCCCACTTGAAGCAGGACAAGCTGCAGCATGGCCGGGGGAGCAGAGCTCCAGGCTGGGGGTGGCACAGGGCTTTGCACTGCTCAGTCTGGGCACAAACCCACCCTGCAGCACCTGCAGGCAGTTACAGGAGAGGGCAGACAGGCCATGTCCAAATAAATCCATTGCCCACATCCCATTTGTGATGCTTTGTCTTCCTTTTCAGAGGAACAGACCCAGGAACTCAGAGAGTATCATTCTCTTCTTGTTGTGGGAGTCTTCTCAGTTGGGCAACTTTTCTGTCCTGTGTTTCTCATGTGTGCCCTCATTTTGAGCACAGAACAAATCCAGAAATTGTTTCAGAAAGATGATTTTCCATTGGTCTCTGTGTGGTTTTAGGCTCTTGCCTGTAACCTTAGTTCTGTACTAAGAAGAAAATTCTGTCAGTTCTCAAAGTACAAACTGACCAATCAATACATGTCCCAATCAGGACAGGCAGTGTGATGGCATTTGTGGAAAATGGGTGCAGCCCTTCCATGTAGTCAGACACTGAAGTTTTGAAGCAACTCGCTGTGAGATGACTTTCACAAAGAGAACATCAGTGCAGAAAATGTGCACCTACACTGCCATATCATTGCCCTGAGCTAACCCAGCACCAATGTCTTCCATTGCCTCTGACCTGTAGTTTTTGTGGTTTTTTTAAAGCATGGAGGAGACACGCAGTGCCGATAGAAAAAGGTAACTAAGTTTGATCTTTCATGGTGCTGAATCATGTTCCCTGCTTTGATCGCCCTTCCTGGCACTTCCCCTCCTGCAAGTGATGCTGCTGGGAGCAGGCATGCTTCTGCTGACCCTCCCTTGAATTTGGTGCATGTCCTAGCTTCAGGCAAATCTGGAGAATCCTTGTCCTCAGGGAGCTGTGTGCAATTCTTCATCCTGGAGGTCTGCTGATGATCCTCTTCCCTCTCTGCTCACTCTGTTCTCTCTGCTTCATGTTCTCTTCCTTGCACTCGTGTTGTTACCTTGTGCACCTTCCCATGCCACAATCTGCCAGCTCTCACTCACACCCTGCCTCTTCCTTAGGCAGCCCCAGCAAAGATCTGTCCTGGGGCGAGCTCTGCCCTGATGTGCTGATTCCATCTCTCCTGCAGAGAACGTGGTTCTGGATCCAGACACAGCCCACTGTGAGCTTGTCGTGTCTGACAGTGGCAAAAGTGTGAAACGACGGTGACCCACGACAGGACATCCCTGACATCCCCAAGAGATTTAACCTGCGGACCTGCGTTCTGGGTCATGATGGCTTCTCCTCAGGGAGACACTACTGGGAGGTGGAGGCAGAGAAGGATGCAGGAAGATGGGGTGTAGGGGTCTCTAGAGAAGATGGGCAAAGGAAGGGTGATTTTAGGTTTAAACCAGAGGAAGGCATATGGGCAGTGGGGATAGAGGGACTACTCTTGAAAACTTTCACCTCCCCTCGTCATACTCTGTTTCCTGAAATCAAGGCTCCCAGGCGGATCCGGGTCTCTCTGGATTATGAAGGGGGACGGGTGTCATTTTTCAATGTTGATGAGGGCATTCTCATCTACACATTTCCACTGGCATCATTTGGGGGCAAAAAAGTCTACCCTTGGTTCTGGGTGGGTCCTGAGACATGTCTGAAAATATGGCCCTGATGAAGAGGAGGCAGTAAGAGAAGGATTTCCAAGGGCAGAGATCTCGTTACCTCTCTGGACCTCTCTTCCATGCTGCATCTCTCTAAGATCTTTCTCTGAGGCCAGACAGGCTGTTCTGGTTCCAGTGCAGATCAGTGGGAGAGGCCATGGCCAAGATGATACCATCCCACATCATTTCCAGGTGTGTGGAAAAGGGACTTTCTCTCTTGCTTCTGAGGGCAAGGGTTCCTTAAGCATGGAGGTTGGAACCATTGTTCCATTGTCTCAGGCTCTGTGAGCATTTGGCATGTAAATCACCCTCTCTTTGTACACTCTTCTTATCAGTATTGTTGCTGTTTCTGTTCCTTATGATATCATTGCTGTTTCCAGTGAATTGTTCTTTTCTCAACCCACGATCTTTGCCTTTTGTGCTTTCAACCAGAGGTTGAGCAGCATCTGCTTTGGGAGAGTCTGGGTAGGAGCTCTTAACTGGGGAGTACCATTCCTAAAACATGACACATGCTTTCACACCAGATCCCCCATTCAATTGAGATCCAGCAGACATGGACCTTCCAAAGGAAGGCTTCACCCAAACAGAACTGGTAAGGAGGGAAACTTCAGTACAGGTGGTGGGTTTATTGCCTGAAATCAGCTCTTTAAAGAAACCTCTAAGACCAAATTTGTTTTAGAAGCCAAGAATTCTTTTATTCCAGCACACTGGAATGACTTCAGCATGTCGGGTGCCCTGGGAATCAGTTCCCAAAGTGCACACAGAGTTATCCTCACTACAGCTGACATGGCAGCATTACAGGATTATTCATTTTTTTCTCCCCCACATTCCTGTTACATTTTCATGACATTTCTGAACACTTATTAGCTGGTTTCTTTAATTCAAAGCACCCTAATTTTCTATGGTACCTTCTTGTCATGGTTTTGCTGGTTCTTGGGAACGGGGCAGGAACTTTTCCCTTCCCCCTGCCTATGGTGTGCAGGGCTGTTAGGTGGGCACTTAAGGAGCACAAATGAAGCTGCTTTCTGGTTAATGGCTCAGAATCTCATCTCCTGGGAAATGGGGGGTGAGGAGCTCCTTTTTATTTTTGTTTTTCTTTTTTTTCCTTGGAAATGGTGGGAGGAGTTGGGGCTTGCTGCTGAGTCTGGAACAAGGTCGGGGTGGGAGCTTGGTGGGGTTTTGTTCTCAGCCTGGTTGCCAGCTGTGGATCTTGCTCAGATTTTTTCATCAAAGAGAAAGTGTTTGGGAGTTCTTTTGTTTTTTTTTTTTTTTCCTTTTCCCCTTCCCTGTTCCCATTTGTTTCTTCCTTAGCACTGGTTCTTGTGCACATCAAAGGGAGAAGGAAAACTATATCACACGATTCGACCAGCCAAACAGAGTGAGATTTTTCCCACTTTGTTGTTGTTGTTGTTTCTCCCCCTCCTCTCTCTCCCCTTTTCCCAGTGTGTGTGGGGGAAGGGGAACCCATTTTTTCTTTGGTTCCTCCAACGCACCCTGGAGGGTGTTACCCCTGGTGTCAACGACCAGTGATCCCACAGCGCCCCCTGCTGGACGGCAAAGAGAACGGCAGGCTCTGCATCTCCAGTGACCCAACAGCGCCCCCTGGTGACTGTGGTTAGAATTGTACCAAAGGGCTCAAACTGAACTACTTTTTTTCCCTTTCTGCGTTTCTTGGTTTGGTTTGAAGGGGATTATTTGTGGGTATTGGAGTATTGTTTGGTTGTTTTACTTGTTTTCTTTCGTTGTTTCTGCCAATACACATATATCTTTCAATAAAGGGCTGTTATTTTTCCTTTTTTCCACAATTTTTTTCCCCTCAGTCAGAACCTCTTAATATTGGATTTACAATTGCTTAGAGGGAGGAGTTTGGGTCTTCCTCATAACTCCTCCTTGCAAAACCTGTGTCTCACTTTTTAAACTGAGTCACTTCTGCTGCAAAAACTATTAGTTCTTGTTACATCTCTAAACCCCAATATCACGTTGCAACAAGTGCCCAGACCCTCCTCCTGCAGAAAAGGTGTGCACAGGTTGATGACCTGTTCTGTCAGGAGCAGGGAATAGTTAAAGGCTGTGCAGTATTAGAGGAGCTGAGGGGGATGCAGGGAGGTGGATTTAGAACCATGTTCCTGGGACCGTCACCACTGAGAACAAGACGCCTCAGATCTGGTGACCCACAAAAGCAGAACTCTGCTTCAGTCTCCACCCTTCAGCATCACCACCAAACCCAGAATCAACACCCGAACAGCTGCAGACACCCATGAGCAAGGTCTACCAGCAGAAACTGCAGCAGCACAACACAGCAGACACCATAAAAGAAACAATGAGTGCTCGTAGTGGGGGACTCTGAGAAGGGACACTGAGGCACTCATCTGCCAGCCCTGCAGGGAGTCACCAGAGCTATCCCCCCTTCTGGCAGCTCAGGTCTGAGATGTTGCTGAGCGGGTGCCACAAGCTGTCAAGAGCACAGACTGCTCTCCACTGCTGCTTTTCCATGTGGCACAAATGACACACAAGCCAGAACCTGGGCAGATTCAAGGGAGATTACAAAGCCCTGGTGGTGCAAGTGAACAATATCGATGTCCAAGTTATCTTTTCCTCCATTTTAACTGTTTGAAGAAAGGGGCCAGCCAGAAATAGATGTAAAAAGCAAATCAACCTCTGGCTTTGTGGCTGGTGCTGTCAGGAGGGTTTGGATTTTTATGACAACCGGACACTCTTGGATGACTACAATCTGTTAGGGAGGCATGGGACCTTTGGCAGCAGGATCACCAACTTGGAGAGCTGGGCTTTAAATGGAAGGACTTGGGGGCTCAGGATCCAAAGGGACCTTGCTTCCTCTTTTGCATCCAGCTGGGAATAACCCAGGACACCCAGAGCAGTGACAAATGTTCCCTACAGGTCTCCCAAGATGAGAACAGAAGGCCAAGCCCCTCAGGGATGTGTATGGCTGTGTGGCATCCTCTTGCACCCCTCCTGGGAAACCTGCCTGCTCCATTAGCCCTGAACTGCCTGCAGAACAACACACAGAGCTTGGGGAATGAGCTTGGGGGAGGATTAGAGATCTGTGTGCAGTCACAGGGCCACGGTCTCATTGCAGTTACAGAGACAGGGTGTCATGGTTTTACTGGTTCCTAGAAACTAAGTAGGAATTTTTCCCTTCCCCTGCCCACTGCATGCAGAGCTATTGAGTGAGCACTTAAGACACTCAAAAGAACTGGTTCTCTGGTTAATTGCTCAGAACTTAGTCTCCTAGGAAACAGGGGAGATGGGGGGCTCCTCTTTAGTTTTTTCTCTGGTCTCCTGGGAAACGCAGGGAGGAGTTTTTGTGCTGGCTGTGTCTGGAACACAGGTCGGAGTGGAAGCTCGGTGGATCTCTCTGCCCTCAGCCCCTTGTCAGCTTCTGGACCCTGTTTGGATTATTTGTTTTCATCAGAGAGGAAACTGTGTTTTCTGGGAGTTTTTTTCCTTTCCCTGTTCCTGTTGGTTTTTTTTTTTTCCTGCCAGTGGTCCCTGTGCACATCAGGGGGAGAGAAAGGACTGTACTGTACAAGTTGACCAGCCAAACAGAGTGAGTTTAATTTTTTCATTGGGAGGAATTTCTCTTTGTTGTTATTTCCCTTCCCCCCCTCTCTCCCCTTTCCCAGTGTGTGTGGGGGGAAAGGAAAACCATTTTTTTTTTTGGTTTCTCCATCACACCCTGGAGGGTGTTACCCCCCCGTGGCTACGACCAGTGATTCTATGGTGCCCCCTGCTGGACGGCATAAAGAACTGCAGGCTCTACATCTCCAGTGACACAACATCGCCCCCTGGTGACTGTGGTTGGAATTGCACCAAAGGGCACAAACTGAAATGTTTGCTTTTTTTTTCCTTTGCTTGTTTACTGGTCTGTTCTGAAGGGGATCATCTGTGGGTATAGAAGTATTGTTTGGTTGTTTCACTTGTTTCTTTTCATTGTTTTTGCCAATATACATATACCTCTTTAAAAAGGGCTGTTATTTTTCCATTTCAATAATTTGTTTTCCTTCAATCGGAGCCTCTTAATTTCGGATTTATAATTGCTTAGAGGGAGGAGTTTGGGTCTTTTCTCATAACTCATCCTCAGCAAACCCCTTGTTTCTCATTTAAACTGGGACACTGGGACACTGTCGTGGATGGCTACGTACCTTTTAGGAATGATAAGTCAGCAAGGTGAGGCGGTGGAGCTTCTCTTTCTGTGAGAGAGTAACTGGGACGGATCAAACTCTGCCCAGGGGTGGATGAAGGCAAGAGCAGATGTGTGAAGCATTAAGGGAGTGGCTAATACGACCAGCAGGATTCGGGCACTGACCTTCCTCCTGTGCTCAGCACTAGTGAGGCCCCACCTCAAATTCTGGGATCACTTTTGGTCCTCTCACAACAAGAAAGGCATTGAGGGGCTGGGCTGGAGAGTGTCCAGAGAAGGGAACAATGCTGGAGAAGGGTCTGGAGCACCGGGAGCAACTGAGAGAGCTGGGGAGGTTCAGCCTGGAGAAAAGGAGGCTCAGGGGGGACCTTCTTGCTTTCTACAACTCTGTGACAGAAGGGTGCAGCCAGGTGGGACTCAGGCTCTGTCCCAGGCAACAAGGGACAGGACTAGAGGAAACGGCCTCAAATTGCACCAGGAGAGGTTTAGGTTGGATATTAGGGAAAACTACCTCCTCAAAAGGGTTGTTCAGCTGTGGTTGTTTTAAAGCCCAGTGGGAACATTAAGCTCTCTCAAGCCAACCCTGTTTGATAGTTGAGGGGAAAAACCCCACTAGATCCATACTCATTGTCCATGGCATTTACAGGGTACAGTGGCAGTGGCATTCAGCAACCAGTAGTACATATGCAATTCAACATTACAGGCTGTTCTCACCCAAAATTCAAATCCCCTTGAGGTACAAGTTTTATTTCCTCATCCCTTGCATCACTCACCCAGTCACTCAGCAAAACCAATCCCACAGATGGCTTTGCCTTTGCTTGAGGCAGGACTAATCCAAACTGTCTTCTCCAACACCTTTCTCTTGTGCACCACAGGCACTTTATCCCCTTCTGTGCTTCATGGGGGTTCTGATCAGGCAGGGCCAGCTGGGTTGGTGGAGGCTGGGGTGTTAACTAACCAGGTGGCTTTCTCTAAATGTGCATCCCCATGTTTGAAGGCCCCACCACCCATTGCTTTCAATGTGGTTTTTAACAGTCCATTGTGCCATTGCACTTTCCCAGGGGCTGCTGCATGACAGGGAATATGATCCACCCACTGCATCCTGAGCTCTCTGCCCAGGTGTCTGTGAGGCTCTTTTTGAAATGAGCCCCATTGTCTGATTCAGTTCCTGCTGGGGGCCACGTCACCCCAGGACTTGCTTTTCCCGGCCCAGGATGGTGTTCCAGGCAGGGCCGTGAGGCACAGGATGTGTCTCCAGACCCCAGGGACTGTTTGCACCACGGTCAGCATGCAGCACTTCCCTTGGAGGGTTTGGGGAGTGCGATGTGCTGTGCTGTGATCACTCTGCCAGGCCTCCCCAGATTTTTATTTCAACCATCACCCCCCACACCACAGAGGCTTTATCTGCTTGGCCCTGCTTGATTGCAGCCCCTGATTCCCAGTTATGGATAACCTGGGAGATGATTTATTCCCCTTGATCATGAGCCCATCTGTATGTTGCATCTCCTCCCTGATGACCTGAGGAGTCATGGGCCCATCAAGCCAGAAACAGTTCACCCTTATCTTGCCAGTCCACATCCACCTGAGACACTTTAATCTCAGCAATCTGATCCACCTGTCCGTTGTTGTGATGTTCTTCAGTAGCCCCAGTTTTGGGTACCGCCCTTGGTGCTGCCCCAATCCTGTCCCTCCCCAGGACCTTGCATTCACCCTGACCAATAAGACCCCTGTCTCCTGGAGGAGGATGCACATCAGTGGGTGGCTGCACATCTGCAGTGCAGACACCTGGACCTGAGCCTGGCAGTCTCTGCTGCTGCAGGAGCAGAACAGGCAGGTCTGGGCACAAACCAGTGCAGACTGTGAGAGGTGTTACCCCATGACCCATAACCTGTGGCCCCAAATTCCTGTTTCTCTCTACATGCAAAGGAAGGGGCTGAGGATGTCACCTCAGGTGTCTTTGGTGCTGCTGGGGGCTCTGCAGATCAGCACAAGAACTTCAGCTGGGGGTGTTGCAGCCACCAAGTCCCAACCCATGACAAGCCCAGGCTGGGACAAGCTCCAGGTGCTTTGAACCTAAATAGTTCCTCCAAAGCAAAGATTCATTTCTTTCTCCTCAAGAGAGGACAGTTCCCTTCCTTCTTCCCTCCTGGAACTCACCTCTTCCACTCATCTCCTCCACCTCATTGACTAAGGTCTCACTCTCTTCTCTCTCCATCCTGGATGCCAGCATATGTACAGAAAATCAACAGCAGGGGAGGAAGCATCCCCTGTTGGAAGTGCCAGTGGCAGGACTCCGAGACTGCCTGAAGATGACAAAGCAGAGAAGCAATGATGGAATAGTCACATTATTCAGGCACTTTTTAGACAGTCAGCACTCACCTGCAGGTTGGCTGCAGGAAGGGAGGTTTGGGATAACTTGGAAAGCTCTTCAGTCTGCTCCCCACTCCCCTGATCTCCTCCTCAGCTCGTGGCTGGACTCAGCTTGCCCAGCACTTGTTTGAGTGAGCAGAGCACAGTCCAGAGGGGCTGGATGGCCTGGAGAGCACAGCTGGGACTGGGAGTCTGTCTGGGGGACCACCCCATGGAGCTTCTCCTCCCCTCCTCTGGGCGATGGCCTCCCCTGCCCTGAACCTTCCAGCCCACGTGTGACCTCATCTAACACTTGCACTTGGCTGTTCTTCCTGCTCCTGCAGTGCCCAGCCCCGTGTGCAGCACAGGCTCTGCCACACGGCCCCTCCCTCCTGCCATCTGCAGGGGGGTGATAAGAGCCCCTGAGCGCTGCAGGGGCCTGGATCTCCCTGTGCAGGATGCTCAGAGCCCTCCCGGGTCAGCAGCACCACAGGCACCTCCAGCCCCGTGGGATGGCACTTGGGGACAGCAGTGGCCCTGCTCTGGGGGTCCAGGCTGCACACTGGGCTGAGGGAGAGGGCTGGCTCCTGCCCTGGCTCTTTGCCCAGGTTTCTGATGCTGCCAGTGGGTTCATGGTGGAGATGCTTGCAGGGCATGTGCCGCCTCGATGGCTCAGCTGGTCAAGGGGGGACAGCACTTGCTGGGCTTTGCACCACAACTCTGTATTCTCCAGGCAGTGGTTGATGCTCCCTGGGGGTGATGGCCTCATCCCCACTCATAAAGTACTCAGAGCATTCCACTCTGCTTTGTCACATCCCTCTGAAAGCCACCATATCAAGAAGGGTGAGAGGGCAGCTGTTGCCAGGTGGCTCTGCTGCCTGGTGCTGGGAGATGGTCTGGGAAAGCAGGATTGGGACAGGCTGGCTTGGAAGGAACCAGAAAAGAGGCAAAGACACAGACACAGACACAGACAGACACACAGACACACAGACACACAGACACACACAGACACACAGACACAGACACAGACACACACACACACACACACACACACACACACACAGACATGCCCAGGCACAGGTCCCCTGTGGCACCCACATCATCCCCAGCACAGGCAGCCAAGTCCACTCCTCCTGCAGGGCTGGCAGGGGATCACTGGTGCAGGTGACACAGGCCACACTCTCTGGCTTCCTGTGCACATCTGCAGACACCTTGAGCAATGACATGGCCTGTCTGCCCAAGGGGTGCCCCTGTCCCACCCCCGGGCCCTCTGACCCCACACATCCAGCTTGATGGTCTCTGCAGACCCACAGCCCTCCCACACACATCCCTCAGGCACGCCACACTTCTGGGACCCCTGACACCAGCAGGGACCCTTTGCCTGACTGATACCCCTGCCTGGACCTGGGCTCTCCAACTCCCTGGCCAGCCAAGCTCAGGTCCAGGCTCTGTTTTACCAGTCCCTTTTCCACCCTTTTGGCCAGGTCCCTGATCAGGTCCCTTTGCCCCAGCAGGTGCCCCCAGGCCTGATGGGGGTGGGAGGGTGCCGGGACCGACAGGGCTGAGCCCCCACGGGCACTGCCTTTGCCTCTCTCAGGGCAGCAGCTTTGCCTGAACCAACCACCTCGATGGCCTTGCCTCTGGGCTGGCAATGGCTTTTAAGCAAGATTTAAGAAGCTGCTGGGCTTTACTCCCACCCACTGCCTCTGGGTGAGAATCCTGGCTCCATCACCTCCCTCCTCCCCACTGCCTCTGGGCTCATCCCAGGGATGTGCAAAGTCCTGCCACATCTGTCCCCTCCCGAGTCCAAGGAGCAGCCCTGGAGAGCCCCTGCAGTAGGGCTGTGCCTGGGCATGCTGCCAGAAGGGCATGTCCAGATTAGGAACTCCCCAAATTACTCAAGACCTTTCACTTTTGGGAGGAGAGAGTGCAAGAGAAAACAGGTGGCAGGCTGGGACAGGGTGATAACTTTTTTGGTTGTCAGACAGCTCAGCTGGGATCAGTGGACCCCTCCAACACTCTTGGGGACAGCCAAGTAGCTCCAGCTCCAGCCCAGAGACCAGGAAAGAGCTCAGGGTCTCCAGGTACGTGGCTTCTTTTGGGAAAGATGGGATGGAATTGTCCTCTGCCATTTGCCTGAAACAGCTGTGGTTTCCATGTCCTGTTAGCAAAGTAGAACCAAGTCAGTGAGCAAAAAGGGGGTGGGTGGGAGAGCAGAGCAGAGCAGAGCCAGGTCCTGTCTTGGCTGGGCCTTGGATCAGTGTTTTGACTATTTTGCTTCCCTTGGTGCAAAGCCTTCTCCCACTCTCAGTGAGGGGCAGGCAGTGAGTCCAGACTCGGTCAGGGTTTGTCCTTCTTGTCCTGCCCCATCCGTCTCTTTCTTAAGGCTGGGTCAGAAAAGCCAGGGCTCCACATGAAAACAACTGCCCCTTTCTGGTGCAACTGGAGCAGATGTTGCAGCTTGTCCTTTGCTTTCCCAGGGGAAATTCCCACAACTTTTTAGACCAGTCAGGTACTTTGCATATAAAGCACTAACCAAAGTCAGTCTGATGATGGAAAATCGAGTTCAACCTTGGCCATGGAAGCTTCTTCCCTAGACATTACAGAAAGGGCTGAAACCAGCAATGAACCCCTTGAAAAGTGAATTCATCCTGGTGGGTTTTAAATTTATTTTAAAATAAATTTTATATTTATGTAAAATATATATTTATATTTATATATTTAATAATAATAAAATTAATAATAATTAAATATATTTTTATATATTTAAAATAAATATATATATTTAAAATAAATTTTAAATTCCCTTGTTTCTCTTCCCTTTTGCCCTTTCCCTCTCCTTGCCCATCTCCAGGTTGTGCTCCTGAGAGGAGGATGCTCTGCGGTTCCCCCATCCACTGCTCTCTGCTGGCTTTTGTCATTTACAGTTTAGTTTTCCAAGGTCATCAGGGGCACTCAGGTAAGAATCCCCCTGTTCTTGCTGAACGCTGTGGCACAGCTTCCAGCCTGAATATCTTCCTGGCTGCCAGTGCAGCAGTTCCCTGTGAACAGCAGAGCACAGAGCAGGGTCAGGCCCTTTTCTTTCCTGTTCGGTGTTCAGGTGGTGCTGCAGGGCAGGGTCCCCGTCCCAGCTCCCCTCAGCCCCTCGTGTGCCCCGGCACAGGGACGCTGCCAGCGCCATGGCCTGACCCGGCAGCACCCGAACCACGCGGAGCAGCCGCTGCTGTGCCCGAGCTCAGGTGCCTCAGCAAACTCACAGTTCTCTCTTCCTCCTCCGGGGGTCTCTCCCAGATCCATTCCAAGTCACTGGACCCTCCGACCCCATCACCGTGGCCAAGGGTGAGAACGTGGTGCTGCCCTGCGGCTTCTCCCCAGAGCAGGATGCACAGGACACGGAGGTGATCTGGTTTCGGGAGCAGTTCTCGCCCTTTGTGCATCGCTTCAAGGAGGGCCAGGACCAGTATGGGGAGCAGATGCTTCAGTACCAAGGGCGCACTGAGCTGCGGAAGGACGGCCTTGCCAAGGGCAGCGCAGACTTGAAGATTTTCCGTGTCCAACTCTCTGACACAGGGACTTTCACCTGCTTTGTTCGCCGTGGCTCAGATTATGACGAGGCTCAGGTGGAGCTCAAGGTGACAGGTCTGTAGTTTGTGTCCCTGGTACCTCTGATTTACTTGCTCATGGTCAGTGCTCTTGTTCCCTGTCCTTGTGCCCAGAAACAGTTTCAGGGGGTTGCTTTGGAAATAGGGTGTTATTAAGTCCCACTGTTGAAAATACCAGGAATGTTTCATGGAGTTAGAACTGCCCACTGAGCAGCCATAAGGAGCTCATAAGGTGCTTCCTCCTTCAAAAGTGTTCTAATATTGCTTCACAACAGCAGCACTTGTTTTTGAACTCTTGTTCTGCTGCTTCTTTGGGAATGAACAAGTCCTGGAAACTTTGGTTCCCTGCAGATGCCTTACCTTTCTCCCGGTGATGCTGCTCTGCACTGGAGTGCTGCTCTTGATGCACGTCACTCTATCAGTCTCAGACAAGTGTGACATTGCAAAAATTTCGGTGGTTTTTTTAATGTAATTTTTTGTCAGTTTGTGGAGCACAGTCAAGAGCTGCTTCTCACCGTCAGTGGGAGTCAAGTGGAATGACCTTGTTTGAAATAGAAATCATTTCCCTCCCGTTGCTACTCACAAAGTAACCTCCCCTTTGGGGATTTAATTTTTCAGTTCCCTTTCTCCGAAGCGTGTATCCTTGGGTGATTCCCCTGGTCCTGATCTCGGTTGCTGTGTTCGCTCTACTTACTCTCACAGTTTATCTGTGTAAAATTAAAGGTACCATCTGGGGCTTGGGAACTGGGGAAGGGGCTGGGCAGCCATTCTACTCAGCCTCCTCTAATCCTGATGGATGAGGGAGATGAGAAACACTGGGATGGACTCAGAGACTTGGCCTGGTGTCTCAGGCACCTGTTTGGTGCCAAGAAACTTAAAAACCCAGGGCCTTAACTGCTGTCAAGGAAAGAAAGCTTTCTTCCCCAACAAGAAGGCAAGGAAGCAAGTTGGCCTTAAAGCAGCATCAGCTGCTCCTCTGCCCCAGCACAGCAATGGAACAATAATTTGCCTTGAGCTGCAGAGAAACCCTGGCAGTTTGGGGGGCCTGGCAGGGCCTCCTTTCCTTCTAAAGATGGAGGAAGCTTTTGGGTAGCACATTCCATTGTGCAGGGGCCTCAGCTTTTCTGAGCACTGCAGAGCACAGGCACAGGCCCTTAGGTAGCACTGCAGGTGACATTTCAGCCCCTGCTCCTCCCTTGTGGGTGCAAAGCTGCCCCTTCCCCGCTGCCCTGGAGCTGCAGCCCCTGCTCAGGTCTCCAGCAGCACGTGCTGATCTCTGCCCACAGCGGGCTCAGGCAGGGTGGGCGACACCCCCAACGTCTTGGCAAGACAGGCCCTGAGGAGCTCCTGGGCTGCAGCTTTGCCCTTGGCAGCAATTCCAGCCTCCTCCCTACCCCAACAAGTCTATCCTGGAACAGGATTTTTTATAGTCTCTAGGGGGTGGTGGGTTCATTTGGGTTTTTTCTTTCACTTTTAAAGTGTGAACCAAAAAGTGGTTCACTTGGTGATGGCTGGACAGACAGACTGAATTTGAGACTCAAAATTCAAGGTCTCTGATGATGGTGCCTGGGGATGGGAAGGGGTGGTGGCAGCAGTAGAACTGGAAGGGTGGGAGTGCCCTCGTCCCCTTGGAGATGAGGGAGCTCCTCGAGTTCATTTCCTGTCCCCACTTGGAGCAGGACAAGCTGCAGCATGGCCAGGGGAGCAGAGCTCCAGGCTGGGGGTGGCACAGGGCTTTGCACTGCTCAGTCTGGGCACAAACCCACCCTGCAGCACCTGCAGGCAGTTACAGGAGAGGGCAGACAGGCCATGTCCAAATAAATCCATGGCCCACAACCCATTTGTGATGCTTTGTCTTCCTTTTCAGAGGAACAAGCCCAGGAACTCGGTGAGTATCATTCTCTTCTCTTCATGGGAGTCTTCTCAGTTGGGCAACTTTTCTGTCCTGTGTTTCTCATGTGTGCCCTCATTTTGAGCACAGAACAAATCCAGAACTTGTTTCAGAAAGATGATTTTCCATTGGTCTCTGTGTGGTTTTAGGCTCTTGCCTGTAACCTTAGTTCTGTACTAAGAAGAAAATTCTGTCAGTTCTCAAAGTACAAACTGACCAATCAATGCATGTCCCAATCAGGACAGGCAGTGTGATGGCATTTGTGGAAAATGGGTGCAGCCCTTCCATGTAGTCAGACACTGAAGTTTTGAAGCAACTCGCTGTGAGATGACTTTCACAAAGAGAACATCAGTGCAGAAAATGTGCACCTACACTGACATATCATTGCCCTGAGCTAACCATTGCCTCTGACCTGTAGGTTTTTGTGTTTTTTTTAAAGCATGGAGGAGACACGCAGTGCCGATAGAAGAAGGTAACTAAGTTTGGTCTTTCATGGTGCTGAATCATCTTCCCTGCTTTGATCGCCCTTCCTGGCACTTCCCCTCCTGCAAGTGATGCTGCTGGGAGCAGGCATGCTTCTGCTGATCCTCCCTTGAATTTGGTGCATGTCCTAGCTTCAGGCAAATCTGGAGAATCGCTGTCCTCAGGGAGCTGTGTGCAATTCTTCATCCTGGAGGTCTGCTGATGATCCTCTTCCCTCTCTGCTCACTCTGTTCTCTCTGCTTCATGTTCTCTTCCTTGCACTCGTGTTGTTACCTTGTGCACCTTCCCATGCCACAATCTGCCAGCTCTCACTCACACCCTGCCTCTTCTTTAGGCAGCCCCAGCAAAGATCTGTCCTGGGGCGAGCTCTGCCCTGATGTGCTGATTCCATCTCTCCTGCAGAGAACGTGGTTCTGGATCCAGACACAGCCCACTGTGAGCTTGTCGTGTCTGACAGTGGCAAAAGTGTGAAACACGGCGACACACCACAGGACGTCCCTGACACCCCCAAGAGATTTAACCTGCGGACCTGCGTTCTGGGCCGTGACGGCTTCTCCTCAGGGAGACACTACTGGGAGGTGGAGGTGGAGAAGGATGCAGGAAGATGGGGTGTGGGGGTCTCTAGAGAAGATGGGCAAAGGAAGGGTTGGTTTAGGTTTATAGCAGAGGAAGGCATATGGGCAGTGGGGAAACAGGGACTATACTTGAAAACTTTCACCTTCCCTGCTCCCACTGAATCTCCTGAAATCAAGGCTCCCAGGCGGATCCGGGTCTCTCTGGATTATGAAGAGGGACGGGTGTCATTTTTCAGTGTTGATGACGAGACCCCCATCTTCACATTTTCACAGGCATCATTTGGGGGGAAAAAAGTCTACCCTTGGATCTGGGTGGATCCTGGAACATGTCTGAAAATATGGCCCTGATGAAGAGGAAGGAGTAAGACAAGTCTTTTTTAGAGGACCTGGGAGTTCAGTCTTACAGAAAGATTGAGGTTGGAAGGAACCTGTGGTGGTTTCTGTGGCAACCAGCTGCTCAGAGCAGGGGTAACCTTGGGGCTGCCTTTAGTGTCCTTGGACCTTGTTCAGCTGAATGTTGCAGGGTCTCCAAGGGCAGAGGTCTCATTACCTCTCTGGACCTCTGTCCAACACTGCATCTCTCTCAAGGGTGAAAACCAACCCTTTCTGGGTGGTCAGAATTCCTCCAATCAGGACCCGTGGTTGTTGTGTCTCATCCTCTCTCTCTCCCTGTTGAACACCAATTACACTGAAAAGGTGTCCCTGCAACAGGGATCCCTTTTGAAATGCACACAATAAAGTTCCTTTGGTGGGATTTGTCTGTATGTGTGTCAGTACCAAGGCTGTCCCAGAGGGACATCCCCACCTCCCTGTAGCCTGTGGGAGTCACAAGCACTTTGGAGAAAAGGGTTCACTGCATCCTGCAGGAGACCAGGAAGTCAGCGGGGCTGGTCCATGGCCGTGCTTGTCCCCCACCTGCCAGCAGCACAAACCCCAGGGATGAGCTCACCTGTGCTCTGGGGATGCCCAGACTGCGAGATGGGCAACTCCAGATGATTCTGCTATAGGGGAAGCTGCCCCTGCAAGTGGAGGAGGGCAGTAAGTGCTTTCTCTGAGGCCAGACATGGCCAGCAGGACTTGGGTTGTGATGATCCCCCTGTGCTGGGCTCTGGTGAGACCCCACCTCAAAGAAAGACATTGAGGGCTGGAGAGTGTCCAGAGAAGGGAACGGAGCTGGGAAAGGGTCTGGAGCACCAGGAGCAGCTGTAAGAGCTGGGAGGGCTCAGCCTGGAGGAAAAGAGGCTCAGGGGGAACCTTCTTGCTCTCCACCACTCACCGACAGGAGGGTGGAACCAGGTGGGGTCAGTCTCTGCTCCTAGGGAACAAGGGACAGGACAAGAGGAAGCAGCCTCAAATTGCACCAGGAGAGGTTTAAGCTGGATATTAGGGAAAACTTCCTCCCGGAAAGGGTTGTTCAGCCCTGGCACAGCTGCTCAGAGCAGTGGTGGAGTCACCAACCCTGCAGGGATTTAAAGGCTGTGTGGATTTGGCTCTTGGGGACATGAGTAGTGGTGGGCTTGGCATTGCTGGGTTGGTGCTTAGACTTGATGATCTTAGAGGGCTTTTTCAACCTAAATGATTCTATGTATAACACTGCTGTGGTTGTTTTCTACCAGCCACCTGATCAGGAAGTCACTGAGGCCTTTTACAGAAAGGTGCCTCAGGTCACAGGCACTCCTTCTCATGGGGGACCTCAACCTGCCTGATATTTGCTGGAAGGACAGCACAGGAGGTCCCTGCAGAGTGAGGTGATCACTCTGTGACACGGGGGGTGGAGGAGTTCCCAAGGTCCTTGTACTAACAGGCACAGAAGCACTGGGTGGGGTGTGAAGGCTGGGGACAGCCTTGGCTGCAGTGACCATGCAGAGTGGAATTCAGGATCCTGCATGGAGGAAGCCGGGCCTTGAGTAGGATTCCAGCCCTGGGCTTTTTGAGAACTAACTTTGGCCTCTTCAAGGACCACTTGCAGGAATCCCATATGTTAGGGCACTAGGAGGTGGGGGGGGAGGTCTAAGAGGGCTTGTTAATATTCAGGCTTCGCTTCCTCCAACCTCAGCATCAGTGCATGCCTATGAGTAAGAAATGAAGCAAAGGGGGCAGGAGACTTGCATGGATGAGCAAGGAGCTGCTGGAAAAACGAAAGGGAAGAAGGAAGTTTACAGAATGTGGAAAGGGACAGGCCACTTGTGAGGTATATAGAAACATTGCCAGAGTTTGCAGGTGTTATAAGTAAAATGAAACTGAGTTGAAATATAGTAATAAAATTTATTGAAGATTTATGAAAAATGCAAATAAGCAAACCAGCATGCTGGGCGGTCAGGGAGTCTCCTGTTCCACTCACGGCGTGCAAGCGCAGTAGGCAAAACCAGTAACTTTTATTTCCTTATCAGTTCCCCTCCCATTGTCACTTGTTGTTCCCCTATTGGATCCAAGTTTGCAGGTCTGGTTCTGGTTGGTTTGTTTGCAAGCCCGTTTTAGTTGCCAGGTGCTTTCCTGCCCATAGTTTCAATCAGTATCTAGTCCTTGAGGCCCAGGGTGCAGCCCAGTGCCCAGGCATCTCCAGATGTCCATCTTGGATACTCTGCATCATTCTCGCTCCTGACTCTTTGATTCTTGTCCTTCCCTCTGTTACTTTATGCTTGCTATGAGACAATAAGCTTTTTATAAAAGTAAGATACAAAAGAATTTACTTAACAAGGCACAATAGTTTGTCTTTCTAGCTTAAGAAATGCAAACTACATGCTTATCAGCTTACAATGCTGATAGATTAATGAACCATTCTACAACTTACAGTCTCCTAACCGTAACAGAACAGTGATTATAATAACATATATATAAGAATATAACATGCACTACAATTTAATGAGTAAATTACTATTATTACTAATTTGATGAGTAAATTTTACTATTACTGCTTATTACACAGGGATGTGGAGAAAGGCTATGGTCCACTTTGAACTAAATCTGGCAAGGGATGTCAAGGATAACAAATAAATAATTCTTCAAATAAATTGGTAGCAAAAGAAAGATTAGGAAAAATGTGGGCCCACTGCTGAAGGAGGTGGGTGTTTGGTGACAGAGGATACAGAGAAGGTGAAGTTCCTGCCTGCCTTCTTTGTTTCAGTCTGTACTGCTAAGGGCAGCCCTCTGGATTCCCAGACTCAGTATGCAAGAGGGAAAGTCTGGTGAAAAGAAGACTCCATTGGGCATGGAGGATCAGGTTAGAGATCATTTAGACAAATCTGACACCCTCAAATCCATGGGCCCCAATGGGTTGCACACATGAGTGCTGTCGTGGTTTTGCCCTGGCTCAATTTACTTTTATACTCCCATACAATTACTATTAGTTGAGAGAAGGTTTATGCAGACAAAAAGAGACTGAATTGAAAAAAGTATGAGTATTTATTATTAACAAGCTAACACTAAAGAATTATATTTACAACAATTCTACTTAAGTAAAAGGTATTATGTATTTACAGAAGATACTTCTCCCCCCACCTCCCTTTATATCAGTCCAAGGAGGAGAAGCAGTCCTTTTCTGTTCTCAGAATTCCAGCTCTCTCTCTCTCCAGTAACTCTGTAGCACTTTCGTCGCAGCTGGAACTTCTTTATCTCTCTTTCATTCTGTGTTGGCCTCCAGAGCTGGGCCTACCCCCCTCCTGGGTTAAAACCGAAGGCTGAGGGTTACCCAGGTCCTGAAGGGTCTCCTTCCATAGGCTTGCAAGGCGACACTTGCTCACTATGGATCTTCTTCCACAGGGTTACAGGGGATAACGGTTTAAGAGTTCACCCCTGTTTCCCTATGGAGGTCCCTCCCCATGGGAGAACAGTCCTTGATTGACTTCTCGGCATGGGTCTAGTCTGGATCCCTTACTTGGATCTCAATATCCTACCCGAACCATTTTCTGTTCCAGCGTAGGTTCTAATACCCGTCAGGGTCATAAATCTTCAACAGCAGCAGCATGGATCTCTCACTGAGATCCCAAGCTTATCTGAGTCGTCTCGCTCCAGCATAAGCATCGATCCCTTCGAGGGTCACAAAGTCTTTAACAGGACTCTGCCTCATCTGAGCCGCTTTTACTCCAGCATAAGGCTTTCTCTCTGTTAAAGTCACAAATCTCTGGTGCATCCACAAGCTCCTCTGTGAGCCGCATGGGGGGTCTCTTCACCCCAACAAACTTCTACAGGTGGCAGGGTTTTATTTTTCAGTCTTTACCCTGCTGAAGGGAGAGAGAGCGAAAGGGAGAAAAAGCAGCTCTCCCCCCTTCGAACTTTTCTTCTTTCTCCTGCGACTGCAGCTTTGACCTTGGAAGTTCTCTTATCTCATGGCTGGAATTCTTCTGCAGCGGTTTCTCGTCTAAGCAGTTCATCTTTTAAACTTTTTTTTCCTTCACTCTCTCACAAGAGAGAAGGGAGGCTTCAGTGCTACACCTGCCCCCCCCGGCCCAAGCCGGGGGAGGAGGGGGCCTTGGCCCTCCTCGGGCCCACCGCGTCTCTCCTACATGGCTGCTGCTCCTAATTTCAACTGCGCAACCAACCTTCTCTTCCATTGTCTTAAAGATGTAATTAGCAAAGGTGTCACTGAACTTTTTGATTGGCTTTTTGTCCGGAAATCACCTGGACAAAACCATCTTCAGCCCCAGGGATGGGCTGGTGGGCAAAACCACGACAAGTGCTGAGGGAGATGGCAGATGTTATTGCTGTGCCACTCTCCATCATTTCTAAAAGTCATGGAGAACCTGAGGTGCCTGAGAGCTGGAGGAAAACCAGTGTCACTCCAGTCTTTAAAAAGGGCAAAAAGGACCCAGGAAACTACAGAAGAATCAGCTTCACCTCCACCCCTGGAAAGGTGATGTGACAGGTCATTCCAGGTATCCTCTTGTCTTCCTTCTGGCCAGAACAGAGTTAATTTTTGCAGTAGCCGGGAGGGGGCATGGCCAGGATGAGGTGGTTATTCTGTACCAGTTCACGTCATTGCTGGGGACAGAGGAAAGGCACTCTGTTCTGGGGAGAAGGAGTGAGTGTGGAGGGAGCGATAGCGTAGCGCCGGTTCACAGCCAGAGGGAGCAGTCAGGGTGTTGTGGCTGTGGTGGGGTCGGGTCGGGCTCCTCGGTGAATGAATCACCCTCTCTCTCTTCTGAATACTTTTGTTATGAATATTGTTGTTGATACTGTTCGTTCCTTATTTCTGTTTCCAGTAAATTGTTCTTAGATCAGGTGATGATCTTTACCTTTTGTGCCTCCAATTCTCAACTCCAGCCCAAGAAGGCCTCAACGGTCACATCACCCATCACTTCCCTGCTCACAAACAGCAGGTCCAACTTCCCTGGTTGTCTCATCAACTGTGTCAGGCAGGTCTCTTCCACACAATCCAGGAACCTCCTAGACTGTTTCCATTGTGTTGCATTTCCAGCAAATGTCTGGTAAGTTGAAGTCTCAGACAAGAACAAGGGCCAGTGATCATGGGGCTTCTCTCAAATGTTCAATATTTCATCTGCCTCTTCGTCCTGGTTGGGCACTCTGTAACCAACTCCCACCAGGATATCTGCTTCATTGACCTTCCCTCTGCTCCTTATCCATAACCATTCAAACTTATTTTTACCATCATTAAGCTCTAGGCAGTCAAAACACTCCCTCACACACAGAGTTACCCTAACACCTCCCTTTCCTTACCTGTGCCTTCTGAAAAGTTTACAGCCACCCATTTCAGCACTTCAGTGTTATC